CAAACGTCTTCCATTTACGGATTATGGAGGCCACTGTGCTCTTAGGAACCTTAAGTGCAGCAGAAATTTTTTTTTGTAACCTTGGCCAGATCTGTGCCTTGCCACAATTCTGTCTGTGAGCTCTTCAGGCAGTTCCTTTGACCTCATGATTCTCATTTGCTCTGACATGCAGTGTGAGCTGTAGGGTCTTATATAGACAGGTGTGTGGCTTTCCTAATCACGTCCAATCAGTATAATCAAACACAGCTGGACTCAAATGAAGGTGTAGAACCATCTCAGGGATGATCAGAAAAAATGGGCAGCACCTAAGTTAAATATATGAGTGTCACAGCAAAGGGTCTGAATACTTATGACCATGTGATATTTCAGTTTTTCTTTTTTAATAAATCTGCAAAAATGTCAAAAATTCTGTGTTTTTCTGTCAATATGGGGTGCTGTGTGTACATTAATGAGGAAAAAAATGAACCTAAATGATTTTAGCATATGGCTGCAATATAACAAAGAGTGAAAAATTTAAGGGGGTCTGAATACTTTCCGTACCCACTGTATGTATAGCTCTGCCTTGGCAAAAGCTCACTACCAGACAGAATCAGTTTATTATCAGCACAAAAATGCACCATATGCTTCGATGCTTCGCGAAAACAGAGTTCTTGTCTGAGCTATCTGTATTCATATCACCCACAATATATACACTAGTAAGGCCCTCACTCTGTATAAAAGAGCTAATGAAAGCCAACTTATTCAGATACTCCTCCTCATTTTGGCTACATTCATACGGGGCATACACATTTAAAATCACCAGTTCCTTATTGTCCTGAATCAGGCATATTGCAATGCACCAGTCCACATCAAGCCTGACCACATTAATCACTGAGTCCAACCTGTTAGACCACAGGATAGCCATGCCACACCTCCAGGAATTCTTCCTCGCTTGATACCGAGCCCAAGGTCTGTAGTTGATTCCCTGGCACCGAGGAAGCCATCATCAACGGAGACGAGCCCACTTAAGTCCTGCTTAGCAACGAATGTCTCTTGTAGACACAAAATATCACATTGTTCCAGAAGCTCATCAACAACAGTGGGGCAAGCTTTATCCTCCACGCTCTGACCACGACAGTTGTATGATATTACATTAAGTACCATATTATTTATTGGCTTGAGCTTGCATTGGCACCGAGAGAAATCCCGGCTTGAGTAGAAAGAGCAGCGTGAACATTACCCAAAATTTTGACTTTATAATGAAATGGTTTTGATACTGAATTTACGTTTTGCTTCCTCTAGCATGTTTTGTGAATACCTTCAGAACATGGTAACGTTACAGTGGCAGATGTTTCCCCTAACCTGAACCCCAATCTTATGCTAACCATAACCACCGAGGGGCGCTACGTGAAACACTTATAATAGTGAACGTATTTACATTCTCAGTTTGCACATTGACTGTTGACTGCTGCACATGCTGCTCCCACGCTGCATACATTCTTTTATTATAAGGTAAGGTTTTCAGGCCCAAGCACAATGACTTCGGTTTTGTCAGAGGTTAGAAGTAAGAAGTTACAGGTCATCCAGGCCTTTATCTCATTAAGAAATTCATTCTGACACATTGCCCTTTTACATTCATTCGGATCAGGTGCTTCGGAGTAGGTAACTTGGCTTTACATAGGTGTGTGTGTCTCAAACTCTGGCACACACGGAAGCACAGTGCCCATAAAAGAGACTCTGAGGATATGGTTTATTACATGAATATTTTGCTACAAACATTGACTGGCCAGTGTGGCAAGTAGACTTCTGAATTTTACACACCAAATGGAAAATCTACCCACATTTGCTGCCCGGCAGATGCTAATTTCGGACTGCCCTTGAGTGGCCCAGGCAAGGCCCAGACTTAAACCCCATCAGATATTTGTGGAGAAATCAGAAGACAGCAGTACATCAATGCTCGCCACCGATAGACCATAAGAGGATCTGCCATGAAGAATAGCGAACTGTTCAAATCCTGGTGTGCAAAGCTTGTACAGATGTATGCAAGAAGACATGCAGCTGTAATTGCTGCCAAAGGGGCTGCTACAAAGAACAAAATGAAGGGTTGAATACTTTTGAGAGCAAAAGTCAGTTTTTAATTCTCGATTCATTTGCAGACAACTCTATGACCATGGCTTACATTTGTCATCATGGGTGATTAAGTGTATAATGATGGGTAGAAATGGAATCTACAGCACAATAAAATGAGCAAAAATAAAGGGGTCAGTGCTTTCTGAATCCACTGTAGAGCAAATGAATCACTTAACAGCAAATTCCTTGTTCAATTTTATAATAAAACGTTCTTTAATCCATATATTAGCAGATTTTGCAACTACACATCGGTCACTGTACCACGATCTGAAGATAACCATGCCATTTTTATACAGAAGCTTACGAATAAGAAGCCACGTCACAGAAAAACGGAAATTTGAACAAGAAACTACATTATGCTGAGTCACCGGTGTTAGTTTGAGTCTTTGTGTTAGTTTCGTTAAATTCTTTCGTCTTTTACAGACCTATTAGCTTTACTTCTGGTTTCCAAACGATATCCAGCAGTCTGCGCTGACGACCGATCTCTTCCTCGTACTGGACGATAATTTTTTCAAAGCCGCCAAATATTTCTTCAGCAGCAGCAGTTAGTCGCTCGGTGACGAACTCTCTCAGACGCTGAACTGAAGACATTGTTCATTTGTTACAAATTAAATATACATCTGCGATAAAAAGACAACCGTCTTCAACTAACCCCATTCATCGCTGCTACTGCTGTTTACTTCCGCCGGATGTCACACTTTGAAGTTCCGGTTGGAAACGTGAGTCGGACTTTGTTCCGCTTTCAACATACAAGGCATTTTTTGTAGCAGCAATTCAGGGTGGAACTTTATTTTTAATTTTATTCTTTCTATTTTTTAACTTAGCCATGCTGGCCCTTCTTCCTTCCATATTCCCTCTTGTATGAGCCATCACTGGCTCACCTGGTGTACGACCTGGCTTAGCCTTCGTGAAACATATCAGCCTGGATGCACTTTGGAGACTGGTCAAGTCACCATTCGTCCTATTGTTATACCCCAGTTCTTTTATTGAACAGATCTGAATAATGTTATTCAGTCGTTATTCATATCTGTTCAATAAAAGAACTGGGGTATAACACTGCAAAAAGAAAACACAACAAAAAGCCCAAAAAGTGTGCCTAAAAAGACCTTCTGTACATACAACAACAACAAGCCCCGGTTT